GAGAGAGAGAGAGAGAGAGAGAGAGAGAGAGAGAGAGAGAGAGAGAGAGAATGTTATGATCAGACATACATAAAAATGTATAAAAGTCAAGTATAAGAACATTAAGAATTATACAGGGGAATGGATGCAATACATGTACAAGCAGGTGCAGCTTATACAAGAAAGAGAAAGAGTGTAAAGACAAAACAGAAAGAGAAGAGGATCAGACAGGATAAAGAGGTGAGACGTAAGAGGAAGAGAAGAATAATAATAAAAATAACCCCCATCACCAAGGATAGCTAGTGTGTATCATTCACTAAACAAAAACACATAACAGAGAACAACTAGTTTAAGAAGAGCAACAATACAATACTATGGTGAAAGAGGGAGATGTATATAGTAATAATAGCCCAGTGGATGAAACAGTGACAAGGGAAGTTGTATAAATCTAACATTTATAAGTAAACAAGATGTACAAAATGTCTTACCAAAAAGTGTGACACATACAATGTACATGTACATGTGTATAAAAATATATCTATTATGTAGATACGTGTAGTTTAAAATGAATATAGTACACTATAGTGGCTATACCCCTGCTTATTAAATCCTGCTATGTTTATGGAAGGGGCCATGAACCGATGTGTTTTATCATGATTCTCAAAAAACAACAATTTGGCAGTACCATTCAGGAAGACGAAATCATCTTAATAAATCCCTGATATTTAATATACACACTGCAGACGAATCATAATTGATAAAAAGTCAAAAGTTTGTAAATATGCTGTTATCTTAATATACATTTAGGGAGGATAAACTAAAGTATACATTTTATAAAATTAAAAGGTACAGGATGAATGGGGCCAGTTCACAAACAGACCACAGAGCCTTGCATCAAGTGACAAACAATCATGAAACTAAAAACTACACGTTACATGTACATTTGTTAAAACAATTACAGGCGTGGTCTGTCGGAAAAGGGTCTTAAAAGTAAGGTACATGCATGAGAACAAACAAAATATCAATCACAAAAAGGAACACGTGTAATTGTGTACCCTTTCAAACATACATGTACATATACAAGTACATATGTGATACATTGTACTGTTAGGGACTCACGCTGATCTATAACTGGTCCACTTCTGTCGTTAGTAACCGTTTTCTTTAGCTTCATTCCCTTGTGTATGTCGCCAAGGAGCGCTCCTCTGTCCTTCTCCTGTTTCTTGTTCAGTTTTGGTTTCTCAGTGTTGGCCTGAGCCAGTGTGGGGGGAGGGGGAGCAGGAGGAGGAGGAGGAGGGGGAGGAGGCATGATGATGGGTCTAAGAGAAGAAAGGGGAGGCATCCATTACAATCTTATCCCCCTCCCTCTCTCTCTCTCTCTCTCACACACACACACACACACACACACACTCATTGCCATCTTGTCACTCCATCCTTTCTCTTCTCAGACTCATTCTTTCTGAGTATCAAGCTGCTATCCCTTACCGCGGGGGAGTGCTGGCTACTGTAGTCTCTCCCTAACGAGGAACACTCTCTGATACGCTATGACTCAGTCCTTCTTTGACATCCACAGAGTGTCTTCACGAGGAGAGAGAGAGAAAGCAGTGAGAGAAGACCTTAGCAGAAAACTGGTAGTTACTAGTTGTACCCTCTACCAATGATGAGGTCATCAGTGGGTCACGTGATTAATTACCACCAATATTAATGAATAAAATTAAAACTTCATAGTATTAATAATAATAATACAAAATGAAATGAATAATAATTAAATGATTATTATTATTATTATTTGAAAACTTCTGAAAAAATAGATTTATTTATTGCTGTCTCAATCAGTGTTTCCTCTTCTTAGAGTTGTATTTACGACCAAAGATCCATTCCTGAGAAGGGAAAGACTCCATGCAATTATTCATAACAAGAATATTGCCAGGTCCCTTTTCCACACAAAGCTTAGTTACCATGTGTTGAAGATGACGAGTCTATCATAAAAAATGAAATATATAATACACACTAATGGTTAGACTCACCACATTATTGTACTCCCATTTCTGGTTCCCTCCCAGTCCATGACAGTTTAGTATTCCAACTTTACCTCCTCTCTCTTTGCTTGAAATGTCAAGACAAAGATCATCATCGAATATTAGCTCACCGGAATCAGAGAACCCAAATTCCTGTAACAAAATAGTAACCCTACCCTCTTTTTCTCTCTCCCTCTCCCTCCCTCTCCCTCTCTCTCTCCCCCCTTTCTCTCTCCCTCTCTCTCTCCCTCCCTCTCTCCATCTCTCTCTCCATCTCTCTCTCTCCCTCTCTCCCTTACTTGGTTCCA